CTACCGCCATCTCTTGAGTGCCAAAAACATCCTACCTAAAGATGGCGTCAGTTTTCAATTCTTATTCTACTTTACCTTATTTTGAAGAGATATCTTTATCACTCAAAAGATGGCTCTAGTGATCAATTCTTATTCTATCTCTATCTCTTTTTATTTGCTTTCTTTGTCTAAATTTGTGTTTAATCTACGGCACTCTGAAGATGGCGCTGATTTCGTAATTTTTATTCTATCTCCATCCTTTTCTATTATTCGTTGTCTTTATCTATACTTGGTCTGCAAAATTTATGTTTTTAAAGGACCATTCGGATATCTGATTAATTTAATAATTTATCTGAGCTTGTAATAAAAATACAAGAATGTTTTGTGTTACAAATTATACAGATTATATGATTTTATTTAATACACAAATATACTTATATATATGTGAAATAAGGACATTTACTATATTAATTTTTTTTATTCTTAAATTTGAGAATTTGTATAGTAATTTATATATAGTTAAGCAGTATTTATTGTAATGTTTTTGGTATCTTGACGTTAGTTAATGCTCGACGTTGATGCTCTATGCAAACGTTGCCACCATACTTGTATATTAGAACATATTGTGACGCTACAGAATATGTATTCAAAGAATGTGTTGCAGTGATGTTGCTTAATATTTATAAATATAATTTTTGTGGAACAAATATAATAATTTGAATAACAGTGTCGTAGAAATTATTTTCAATAAAACGAATTATATATTATAATATTTTATATCCTATAAATGTATAGACACTTAAATTACAATAAAACAACGCTTATACCAGTAATTGAATTTCTTTCAACAGTATAATATTATTAAGGATTTATTAAGGTAAATTTAATTTAAATAATACAATGATATATTTAATTTTAATATGACACATAAAATATAATAATTAAAAAGTTAAATAGATATTGAAATGATTTAAGACAATTATCTATTTTGAGGTTATAATCATAACCTCTATTGTATATAATAATTTATATTATATTTTTCTTGTAGATGAATGATAAAGATCCAACAAGTGTTATTCAAATGATAAAAGATCTCAGATCAGGTTCTGAAGCATATCGCAAGAGTAATAATAGCAATGTACCTGTAAAGTTATCAGGAACTACATATACATCAGCATTTGACACTGATGAATGTATAATTTCACCAAAAAGACCAAAATTGAGTGATTCTAATAGTTCTAATTTAAATAGGAGTGAAACAGAAAATATTCCTGGTAGTCCATGGGAATGGAGAAGATTAAAAGGAGAGGTAATATATTTTCAATTAATGTTATATATAAATTTTTGAAAATGAAATATATCAAAAATCTATATTTTATTAGGTTATATCTTTGAAAACAAGATTGTCTCATCAAGAAGCTGCTGTACAACAGCTTCATAAAATACGTAGACAAATGGAAGAAGTTTTTGAAAAAGAAAAAGGTATTTTAGAAATACAAGTAGAGCAAGATAAGCAAACAATTAAGCAATTAGAAGTACGACTTGACATTTCACGTAGAACAATTCAGGATACTCGAGAAGCACAGGCTGCTGCAGAAAAAGAATTGTTTGAGGTATAGTATCTACATATAATTTAATTATTTTAATGGTCTTCCACTTCTATATATTTAATATATAAAATTTTTTGTAGGTAAAAACAAATTTAGAACAAAAAATTATGACATTAATGAATGAAAATGCAAAGTTGTTAGGTGATTTTAAACATACATCTATCCAAGAAAATAAACCAGTAACAAAAGATTTTACTGATGGATTTGATACACAATCAAAACTAGAATCAGCACAAACAAGAATAAAACAATTAGAAGAAAAATTGAAGGAATATCAAATGAAGCAGCAGGAATTGGAATTACAAAATGTAGAATTTCAGGCTATAAAAATAAAGGTTGAGAGATTAGAATCAGAAAAGATGCAATGGGAGGAGGGAAAAATGTTCACAGCAAAAGCAGCAAAAGCAAATGAACTTGAGAAAGAATTAATTATTGCAAAAGAAACTATTGCTTCGTTAAGAGAATCTGTTAGAGGAAAATTACTTTTAGAAGAGCAAATGTCTAATGTAATGAAAAGGTATGTTTTTAAACATTTTTCTATATATCTTTATGATTGATAAATATTTATTATTTATTATGTTTAAATATATCTTTA